CGCCCGGACCCCGCTCCCGCCGGGCTCCCGGGTCCCCGAGGGCTGAGAGACCCCGAATCCCGATGAGGGCCGGGACCAGGGCGCGGCCGCACCCCCACCCAACCCAACGCCGGGCCGCGGGAACGCCCTCCCGGAATGAAGCGCTTCCCGGTGCCTTCAAGGTAGCTCGGTTCCCGATCGGGGACACCCCCCCCAAGTCCTCCCTCTCAGGTCTCCGCTATCCAGAATTTAAGAGAGCCCCAATCTTGCTGGGTCGGGAGGGAGATAACCCCAGCGCTCCTCAACCCTCCACCACGTTCCAACTGGTGAGAATCCCCCCATGCACTCAGTCAGAGGGAGAAGCCGCCCTCGGAGACCCCACTTTCCTCTGAACCTAGTGTAGGGCTTTCCCTCAGCGGCTTTCAGCCCCACATTGTCCATATCGGATTGGGGGAGCCTTCTCAGTGTCTCACGTCCCAGTTGGAGAGCTTCCATCAGCACCCCAGTATCAGTCTTCCCAGTCCTGATACCCACAGTTGTGGACTCTACGGTTTGTTGAGACAATCCTCTGTCCCAAGCCTGGATTCCCAGTTTGCTGCTCCCCCAGCTCACCCTTGCCCCCTCCCGCCCCAAAGTGGAGTTAGGTGTCCACTGTTTTTTCTCACTCCTTGGCTCACTCTTGTTAGCCCCACTCTTGACTTTGTCTGGATTCAGAAACCTGGTTCCAGTCACCCACTGGCCCACTTCACTGACTGGGGGAGAGGGCAGTGCCCCCTAGGGCTCCCCTCTTTGCTTCAGAGCCCAGCTCATCTGTGCCCCTTACCCTGGGACTGACTCCCTTCTTTTACAAAAAGCTCTGCGGGGAGGGGGAGGGCATGGAATTGGAAGAGCCTGGCTTGCTTCCCCACTGCATTGGGAGCTGCCTCTCAGTCCAACTCTGTTAGCGTCTACTGCTTGCCAAGGCAAAAGCCTTCTCTTTTCCTTTCTTCTACCTGCACCCCATCTTCTGGGTCTCTAAGACCCCTCACCCCCAAGTCTCCTGGGAGCCACCTCACCTTCCCGAGGGACCCTGAGAAAATCCACTCCGAATCACCTTCCGAGCCAGGAGCAGTTATCTTTATCCCTCCATCTCCTCTCCTAGTTGAAATCAGCCAAGAGGTCAAAGCTGGAAGCTAAAGCGACCACTTCCCCCAAATCCTCATCCCCACTGGGGTCTCAGTGCGATAGAAGCCCCTCCCTCTCAACTCACCGCCCCCCTCCTCCCCTCTGTAAACCAGTGACAACCTTGATGACAGCCTCTTATGTCACCTTGTCACCCATCCTCCAGCCAGCCACCTTTTATTATTGTGTGCAGCAGATCTGACCACAACTCCTGAAACAGTGCCCATCCCCCTCTTCCTTATAAACCTTCCCTCCCCCCTATCCCCACCAACACACCTATGAGAACATGAGAGACTCAAGTTAATGGTTTCCTTGGGGACCTTCTGGGAGCGCTCAGCAGGTACATCCTGCCACTCTGTGTGCATAACACTGGAAACAAACTTGCTTTTTCCTGTTTTTATCACTCTCCTAGCCCCAGTTTCTCAGCATCCCCTGGGCAAGGGGCAGGGGCCACCCCATACAGGACATGCCTCCCCATCACTACACAAACTAGAATATGAAGGTGTGTCCTGGAAGAGACACAGATGAGGGTAACACTTCCAGTATTAGGTCTAAATTTCAGGCTTCTTGGCGTAAAATGGGACCAGTGGGGAGGTGGAAAGAGGGGCGAGGAGCCCACATGTCCATGAGCACTGATTTCCATGCTGGTGCTGCTGGCCAGGTAGCTACGTATATATGGATAAGGGTTATTTGTTCAGTTAGTCAAGTTTGCCAAGTAGTAGACTGGGACAGGATCCATTTAGTAGTGTCTTCATTCAGGACCTCAGGGATGCACCTATTTGTTCTCTCAACCTGGCTTGCAGCACAACAATATGTGGGGTGGACTTACAGAAGTCCTCTCGCACTGAAGGTTCACCTCAGCCTAGATGTGCCCACCCACTCTGTTCATGGTAAGGTAATGAGGGGTAGCCCTCACAGGACAATGCAGCTGCAAATGCATGGTGCTCATAGTAAATTGAGGATCTCAGTGGTATTAAGTGAAAATGATCTTTAGAGCAACTGGCCCAGACTCCAGAATTAGGAGATTAGAGGATGTGGTTCCGGCTCTTTCTCTCTAGTACTACACACACTGAGCATCACTCAGAGAACTGAAGAATAATTTGCTTTATAGTTAAAAAAAAAAAAAAGGTGGCTTTTAAGAAAGACAGCCGGCAACTGACATTATACCCAAGTGCTGAGATGCAACTTGGCGCATTCGTTCATTCCACAAATATTGATTGAACATCTGCTACCTACCAGACCCTGTCTTAGGTGCTATTCCTAGCACCTACCTTTGTGAAGCTTGCTTGCCAGAGACAGAAATCATATAATGAATGAATGAATGGATAAATGGATGGATGATAGATAGGCAGATAGGTAGATAGATAGATAGCTCAGTTAGATGTTGGTAAGTGCTGTGGCGAAGGAGCGGGGAGAAGGGGGTGAGAGGCAGGAGAAGGAGTGATGCAATTTTGAATCAGGACAGTTCTCATAGGAGGGTGATGTTTTAGCAAAGACTTAAAGGAACATTAATTTGTATTAGCCAGAGCTCACATGTAAGCAGAACACCTGCATTTCTTGAGTGCAAAGATAACTGATATTCATAATTTGACTTTCACTGCTCTAAAACAGTGGTTCCCAAATCATAACGTGTATTTAAAAATCACCCAGTGATTTTCAGTAGACACAGGATGGGTGGGGATATAACATCTGCATTTTTAAAACAAGTACCTTTATCCCATGATATAGACAGCCTAAGATTTCCCATGGACGTTTCCCATTGCTTCCCTTGAAAAAAACACTGCTCTAAAATATACAGAAGAGTCTTCTAGAATGACAACAATAAAATTAAAGGTTAAATTACAGTTCATGTGGTTTTAGTATTGAGAGTATTTCACTGTGTTCTCATTCTTTGAAAATGCAATACCCAAGCAAATCCCTGGATTACCCAGAACATCCCATTTCTTGTCCATGCAGGATAAGGGAAAATTTATCATAAGCTGATTAGGAGTTAAACATTTATAACCACTCTGTTTTGCACCCTCCCCCCTCTTTTTTTGCCCTAATATTCTCTATATTTCATCCTTTCCCCAAATTTCTGACCTAGCCAGCAGATGACTGGCCAGGGCCAGAAGAGCACTTGATCAAGAATCAAAAAAGTAGGTGGGTCCTGGATCTGCCACTGTTCCTGGTTGATTGAATCTAGGGATATGCCACTTAGTCTTCTGAGTTTTCCTTTACTCTCTGAGTTGATGCAAAAGCTACATGAAGTCATGTTATGAAAGTATCTGAAAAGCACTAGAGCACAGTGGAAAAGACACGAAAGCCCCGTGACTGCATTCCCGAGCCAGTTAATTTGACCCAGTTCAAATTCAGTTACCTGTAAGAGAGTGCAGTACAGGCATAGGACATATATAGATAGAGAGATCAGTAGAATAAAATTGAGAGTCTGGAAATTCTTCACACTTATGAATTGCTTCTTGATAAGGGAAACAACCCAATTCACTGGAAAAAGAATAATATTCTGTGGGGCAACCAGCTATCCATATGAAAAATAATCAAGTTGTATCTCTACCTCACACCAAAATCAACTCAAAACAAAGGCTAAAATGTAAGAGCTAAAACTAAAAAGAGGGATAGATGAATCAAACATTAAAAGTAAAAACTTCAAAGGGCACCATTAAGAAAATGCAAAAAACAACCTGAAGAATAGGAGAAAAAATTTTGCAAGTCATTTATTTGATAAGGTAGCTGTACCTAGTAAAGAAGTTGTATTCCTCAGTAATGACAAAGTAAATAACAATTGAAAATGGGTAAATGATAAGAATAGATATTTCTCTAAAGAAGATATTTACATTGCCAAATAAACTCATAAAAAGATGCCCAACATCATTAGCCATCAAGGAAATGCAAATCAAAACCACAATGAAATGTGCCTTCACACCTACTGAAACAGTTGCAATCAAAACAAGAAATAATACCAAGTATTGGTAAGGATGTGGAGAAATTGGAGCCTTTATACATTGCTGCTGGGTGTGTAAAATGGTGCAGTGCTATGGGAAACAGTGGAAAAGCAGGTCCTCAAAAAGTTAAAGCTCTATATGATGGAATACTATTTGGCTATGAAAAGGAATGGGTACCGACACCCGCTATAACACAGATGAATCTTGAAAACATTATACACTGGTCACACATTATAGGGTTGGCTTACTCTCCACATTACTGAGATGTCCACGTAGGCAAATCCTCAGAAGTAAGAAATGAATTAGTGGTTCCCTAGGGCGTAGGAGAAGGGGAGTAGGGAGAGTTCAGATGAAATGGGGGGTGACTACAGATGGATACAGGTTTCTCTTTGGAGAGACAATGACAATGTTGTAA